TCCATGGCTTATTTCTACAGAAGAAGTCGTTTATAGCAATATGCCAATTGCCCTCTTTTGGCCTCGCCCCTCAGCCCCCCCCGGGGGGGGGGGGGGGGGGGGGGGAGGGGGGGTCAGCTCCCCCATTTGTAAAATTTTGCAAAATACTTCCCCATTTGGAAACAAAAAAAGGCTTTTAGTAATTAACTTCTGAACGGCAGAAGCATCGGATTTTGTCCGTACCTGGTGTGCGGTTCTTAGTACCTACATTGTGTAATTTAGAGCAACAGATATACCAAAACGTCAACACCAATACATAAATACACTATATTCGAAAGCGTTAACACACACAAAATATTCAACGGTGTCAACGCAAAGGGACAAAATACACCACACAAAGAAAACATACATCGGAGCATCACCAAACAAACAAAAATAAGCCTGGCATCAACTCACTACAGACAAATTACACCATACTGTCAACGATGGCAAATTCACAACCAAAATGAAAAACCAAAATAGAAATAAGACAATCCAAACCAAATCCATCGGAAAATACAATGAAAGTACAATATTGGGGCAAATACTGCTACGTTATAACGAGATACATCCCATACTAACCATTTTCAACATTGTGTCCACCAGCATCGCTTCGAACAATTTATAAACGAAACTTGAATATCTAGTTCACTAAACAGGGTTTACATGTGTTAAAAAATAAAGTGATACATCTTAATGTTAATCCTTTAGTTCTACATAATTGCAAAAAAAAAGCACATGTACGAAATGAAAAAAACAACATGTTTCGGTCTTTGGTGAAAACTGTAAAATATAGTTATCCATTTCAATTTTGGCTTAATCCGGTAGAAGATAATCCGCACCTTTCTTCTCAAAATGCATTCAAGCCAGGATCGAAACACACACATGTTCGAATTACAGCCGGCCAACGGAATAGTGAAGTAAGTAATAATTATATAGACGCCGAGTGGTGACACTCTTGACAGAAAACACCCACATTGATGTTGTTTAACAGGACGTAATGTGCCTCAAAACAACATTTATGGACGTGCTAACCGGAAGTCACAGGTTGCCTGTCATCGCGAGACAACCACCTACCCACGTGGACCTTATAAAAATGTCGAACTTATCTCAAAAGATCTGGAAATGTCGTAGTAGCTGTAAGAAACGGGATGAAAACAGATACCATGTCAGGAGAGGGAACACATTTAATGGAAAAGGCCCTTTTATCATGGTATGTTCCTACTTTGTGGACACAAGTTCCCAGAATATTCGATGACGTTATATTTACTACCAGTGCGACCAGAGAACAGCTACATGTATATATTTATCGGGCGGTAAGCATAGAAACATAAGCTTGAGTGCAGCCAAACCTGTTATGTATACAATAATGATGCAGAGGTTCCTATGTGGTTTATCTTCATATTGATGTTTTAACGTGTTCTTTTAATTTTATCCTCGACGAAAACCGATTATCGATGAGAGGGATTGGTTCCAGGTGCCCTGTAAGATTTCACACTAAAAAGGTTTAAAGCATACCATACGGCCTCGTTGTGAAACCCAAAGCATAACCACATATTCCAGAACGAATGATATGAAATATGTTCGTTTAGCAAAAAAGCCAAACAAATGAAGGCAAAAAACTGAAAACACAATTTAACACAGGAAACGTTTGCGGGAGGCTGGATCTTCCATAGTGGATCTGCACTTTAAAGTTTAAAACAATTCTCCCCTGCACGAAAAAGTGGATTATTTACGGTCGATTAAATCTCCTTGGTGTGAAATTGACTACATGTATATGCATAGATTTTTGTATAAACAACATATTTTGGCATATCATTTAAAGGAAATGAATTTTCATTCATTCTTGTTTATTTGTAAAGTGAATGTTTGCTTCTATGCTGATTACAATAATGGTGTAGATATCAATGTTTAAAGTTCCTATTATATATTGTTTTCCCTTTGTGTCTTCCTTTAACTTACTCTCCTAGTTCACCAAAGCTGTTGCAAGTATCCCAAACATTCCCACAATGCAATGAATTATATTTAAATATAGAAATTAATGGGCATGTTTTTGTTGCTATAAAGATCACCTCCGTACTGTAATCTACCACTAACCTTATCCTGCCATTGGCAAAATTGTGAAACAATAAAGCATTTCCACACACTTTGTAGAAATAAATAAGATGCCCCTTTGACACTGTATGTTGGTAGAGAAATTCCGGAAAGACATTCCGGTTAGCAGTGGCAGATGCGAATCTACATCAAATGGGCTGTGAATGCGCTTCAATGAAATCCTCACGCACACCGGGTCATTTTTATTTCGGAAAGGTTTCAGATCTTTTTTGTCCACGGTATGGTAATGGTGTGTTGCTAGATGTTGAGAAAAAGCAGACAATTTTGTACCTCGTTATTGTTTGTTGGAGGGAGAATAAAACGTGCTCAGGAAACAATTTCAATTTCCTTACAATTACTAGACACTGTCTTTGATCGGATGTCTGAGTATTGTCAGACCGAAGGAGCTGTCCGAGGGCGCGCGTACGGCAATAGCTTCAGTACTGACAGATGTACACCAAACATTTCAACAAAGTATACAAAATTACAGAGTAAAATACAAACGTACAGATACCCAGGTCAGCTGGCTTTTATCCATCTGTCCTTGCACAGCAATACACACACAACTAAATGTGTGTAGCAGAGAACATGTATAATATCATTTCTTCATTTGGTTTGCTAAATTTGGGTATTCTACATCCTGATTAGTTTCTCTATATCCGATTTAATCTTTTATATTACTTTCTAACGGCGTCACAAGTAAAACCAGATCACGTTTCGTTAGGCATTTTTATATATATATATATATATATATAATAAAAAGGGATTAAATGTCCATGTGAAGAACGTAAATATAGAAAAAATAAGATTAACGACCGACGTTAATCTTATTTTTTCTATATATACATGTATAAGTCCTTGCGAAGGAAAATATAGAATAAAAACAAAAATTTCCAGATCGTCCGCTAGGCCTTTCTGCCTTCTAGGGCTTCTTCAGGCGGATTGATGTTTATTCATCACCGTTGGTTACATGACGTCATCAATATTTGTATAGTCAACAATTTAAGTGACGTCATAAATAAACAAGCATAGTGACGTTACAAACAATACCAAGACAAAGAAAACATCTACATACAATACATTGCAAAAATCATTGTGCATTCAGGCTGGGTTTGAGGACTTTTATAAACATATTTTCTTTAATTTCTCTTGCAACTACATCGTCGCTATTCAGTTTGTAAATAGGTAACACATGAAAATCATCTTTAGAACATCGATGCATATGTTTGCTAACTTTAAAAAATCTTAGTTCATTGTCCTTCATTTGTTGTCTATGTACATTCATTCGTATTCTCAATTCACATCCGGTCTGTCCGATATAAAATTCACCACATTGTTTACATATTAAAGAGTAAATAACATTCTTAGAATTACAGTTAATGTCTGATCTAATTTCTATTTTGGAACCATTTGCAAAAACGTAGTCTTTACATTCAATGATAATCTTACATGTACCACACCTTGGTTTCTTACATTTTTTTACACCAGTGACAACATTTGTGGTATTCATATCAAATTTGGATGTACATAGTAAACGTTTTAAGCTTTTAGGTTGTCTTTTACAGTTTATAATCTTCTTCTTATCAAAAATACACTTCATGTTCTCACTGTTTTTCATAAAATTTACAAAATGTTTAACGACAGGAAACATATTACAATTATTTGGATTGTAAGTAGTAACAAATGGTATGATATCAGCATCTTTGGTGTTAGCTCTTTCTAAATTAACACTGACAGGGCCTTTCTCTTTAGCTCTTTGTATGGCGTTTAGTACCACTTCAGCAGGATAACGTTTGCTTTTAAGATAAAGTTTCAAATCGTCCAATCTATCTTCTAATATTTTTTTATCGCTAACAACCGTGACTAATTTCGATGCTAAACCATATGGAATGTTAAGCTTAGTGTGTTTAGCATGATTTGAAAAGAAATCCAAATAATTGTGAGAATCTGTAGGTTTACAATATATATCGCTAACAATATTTTGTCCTTTAATTTCTACAAAAATATCCAAGAAAGGTATTCCTTTTTCACTTAACTCCATTGTGTAATTCAAATCGGGATGCAAGGCATTTAGCATATTGAAAAATTCCAGAAGATTCTCACCTGGAGGCCAAATAATAAAGCAATCATCTAGAAATCTCAAAAAGTTGTCTTTAAAATAATTTGCAAAAGTAACACTAAATGTGTTTTTAACATTTGTATAAAGTTTATCTTCTAAATACCCAAGGACAAGCGTCGCATAGGTAGGGGCCACCTTTGTTCCCATTGCAGTACCTTTACACTGTTGGTAAAAATTACCATTAAAACAAAACGTATTGTTTTCCAATACAATTTTTAATGCTTCAACAATGAATTGTTTATCAAATCTAGAATCTACTTTTCCAGGACATTTATTCAACCAATAGCTAATGGCCTCAATTCCCAAATTATGTGGAATATTTGTATACAAGCTTATTACATCAAAAGTTACAAGTTTACAATCCTCCTTAACTTGATTCGGCAAATGAGACAAAAAATCTATATCGTCACGTATCAAACTCTTTACCTCCGTACATAGAGGTTTCAGAAGCAAGTCTAAAAAATGACTTAAACGTTGAGTAACGCTTTCCGGACCACCAACTATAGGTCTGAATTTAAGATCGTTGGGAGATTTTAGGCAAATGTAATCAGCACCTTGCTCTTTGATAGCTTTTGAAATTAATTCACTTTTGTGTATCTTTGGAAGACCATAAAAATAACTTGAGCGATATACAAAGTCTGTAAGATATTCTATTTCCTTATCTTTAAAATTTTCTCTATGCTTTCTCACAAGATTCGTAATATAATTCATAGTCTCTGCATCTGTGTCAGAGGGAATTTCTATTGACTATTTTATGAAAATGACTTACTGACAGTCCACCAACCACGAGGGAACGGATACTGCAATTTCCGGATCCTGCAATTTCAAAATCCACATAATTTGGGAATTGAGGCCATTAGCTATTAGTTGAATAAATGTCCTGGAAAAGTAGATTCTAGATTTGATAAACAATTCATTGTTGAAGCATTAAAAATTGTATTGGAAAACAATACGTTTTGTTTTAATGGTAATTTTTACCAACAGTGTAAAGGTACTGCAATGGGAACAAAGGTGGCCCCTACCTATGCGACGCTTGTCCTTGGGTATTTAGAAGATAAACTTTATACAAATGTTAAAAACACATTTAGTGTTACTTTTGCAAATTATTTTAAAGACAACTTTTTGAGATTTCTAGATGATTGCTTTATTATTTGGCCTCCAGGTGAGAATCTTCTGGAATTTTTCAATATGCTAAATGCCTTGCATCCCGATTTGAATTACACAATGGAGTTAAGTGAAAAAGGAATACCTTTCTTGGATATTTTTGTAGAAATTAAAGGACAAAATATTGTTAGCGATATATATTGTAAACCTACAGATTCTCACAATTATTTGGATTTCTTTTCAAATCATGCTAAACACACTAAGCTTAACATTCCATATGGTTTAGCATCGAAATTAGTCACGGTTGTTAGCGATAAAAAAATATTAGAAGATAGATTGGACGATTTGAAACTTTATCTTAAAAGCAAACGTTATCCTGCTGAAGTGGTACTAAACGCCATACAAAGAGCTAAAGAGAAAGGCCCTGTCAGTGTTAATTTAGAAAGAGCTAACACCAAAGATGCTGATATCATACCATTTGTTACTACTTACAATCCAAATAATTGTAATATGTTTCCTGTCGTTAAACATTTTGTAAATTTTATGAAAAACAGTGAGAACATGAAGTGTATTTTTGATAAGAAGAAGATTATAAACTGTAAAAGACAACCTAAAAGCTTAAAACGTTTACTATGTACATCCAAATTTGATATGAATACCACAAATGTTGTCACTGGTGTAAAAAAATGTAAGAAACCAAGGTGTGGTACATGTAAGATTATCATTGAATGTAAAGACTACGTTTTTGCAAATGGTTCCAAAATAGAAATTAGATCAGACATTAACTGTAATTCTAAGAATGTTATTTACTCTTTAATATGTAAACAATGTGGTGAATTTTATATCGGACAGACCGGATGTGAATTGAGAATACGAATGAATGTACATAGACAACAAATGAAGGACAATGAACTAAGATTTTTAAAAGTTAGCAAACATATGCATCGATGTTCTAAAGATGATTTTCATGTGTTACCTATTTACAAACTGAATAGCGACGATGTAGTTGCAAGAGAAATTAAAGAAAATATGTTTATAAAAGTCCTCAAACCCAGCCTGAATGCACAATGATTTTTGCAATGTATTGTATGTAGATTTTTTCTTTGTCTTGGTATTGTTTGTAACGTCACTATGCTTGTTTATTTATGACGTCACTAAAATTGTTGACTATATAAATATTGATGACGTCATGTAACCAACGGTGATAAATAAACATCAATCCGCCTGAAGAAGCCCTAGAAGGCAGAAAGGCCTAGCGGACGATCTGGAAAGTTTTGTTTTTATTCTATATATATATATATATATTGTGGGAATAAAAGTAAGATCCAATGCATTTTTAAGGATAACTTTCAATCTTTTCAATCTGAATATATGACCTGTTGAGAGAAAAAGTCAGTGAAGGCGGGCACAGGAAGAGAGGTGGGGTAGAAAACCCCCCAGCATATTTGTTCCATATGTGCGTATACCATTGAGGTTACATAATATAATTTAATGTCCCATTTTTTATATTTAAGATAATCCGTGCGTCTGGTAAAAACATTACTGTTACATCACAGACGTCCAAATTTTTGGGCGTGGAGTATGTGGATTTCGAGTTTTTGTTAAGATGTGGTATAAACGGAGAATACAAAGATTACTGCCAATCCAGACAATCTGATGGATGACAATACATACCACTGTTAACAGATTCTCCAGCTGTAGGAGGCATGCGTCCCTTGCGTTAGGAACGGATTTACATGATGTTGTTTGTCTATTGGATTAAAGCCAGTACATTCAAGAGTAGTTTTTTCCTGATTGATAATCCATGCCTAAGAGCAGTATTGAATTACTTCTGACAAACTTAAATTTTACCTAAGGATATTACTTTTAGCACAGTTTGGTCTCAAAAGACAACTAATTGTCTGTTTTCCTTTTCTGCTATTACGATACCAGTATTTCATATACTGCTAAATAATATCTGTATTTTCATTTTAAGTTACCCATTGCCTCTAACGAACATAGACTTGTCAAGAGCAACTGACAGTACGGTATATGTATCAATTATCTACGATAATACACCTCATAAATACTGGTCGCTGACACCAGAATATGTATACATCACGAATGTGTTTATACAAATTACATACAGGAACCTATTACCAATATGATTATTAGAACAGGTTGTTTATGATAGATATGTTCAGGTTTCATATAAAACCCGATATGCAATAAGCATTAACCAAAATCGTAAGATAAGCAACAAGCATGTAGTATCAGCCTGTTTTCCGGCAGCATTCCCATATCATATGCCCCTCTCTCAGACAACATCGGGAGTCGACAGCTTTAACGTAACGTACAACCTATACGTCAATTCAACTGTAATCTCTCTGATTTAATATCTGTTCATTTTTTTATCATTTTGCTGCAGAAAAAGTGAAGAAATCCGGCATGTTTGTTTTCTTTTTCCGTGTATCGGACCACCCTCAAGTCTGCAAATACTATACACTGCTCTCTGAGCTTTACTAATGTGTGCGAATAGATATATAATGGTGCCGCCCAGAGTAAACCGATTTGGTAAATGCATTTGCTGTCTTTTTAATTAAAACCTGACAAAATCACATATTTCTACGCATACCCCATAGAAGTATTTTTGGAATAAGTAGAAGACAAATGCTCCCTATCCCGAAGTGTCGTCTTCTGGGACAAAAGCATGGCTGTGTTACCTGCTGTGACATTTTAGCATCGAGGTGATTCCGATTCTACACATTAGACCACCCTAATGCATACAGATGTAAGATTCTCTATATGTGTCCTTATCTTTAGCAACGAGCTGGCGTTCTACTGTTCCGTTCACATTTATTCACGAAACTGTTAATGGTAAAACATAAATCGTGTACATTGTTGTGTATTGATACGGAGGTTTATCCTTTGTTTTTACTGCAAAACCCATTTTCAATCTCGTTAAAATAATTGAAGTACATTAGACGAAGTTTTACAAATAGGATAGTCATGTGCTACATATTTATTCCAGAATAAGTACTCCATAACTGGTTCATATTAACGCTGATGTTTTACAGCCGGGTTAATACATGTATCTGCTTTCGAAAACAAAATTGACCAGATCAGATGACGCATCAGACTTAAGTTAAGATTTATAATCTCCTAGGACATTATGACATATTATGACAGTTCATGATTGAAGTTCGGTATCATTCTAGTTTAACTTTATTCATGATAACGATACTCCTTTTGTTGTGTCCTCTGTATAGAAGTCTACTTCCTCAAGTATCATCAGTGTTCTCCTAATAACCCCCTAACCACAGCCTGTATTTACTAGCATATTTCCAAAAGTAAGTTTCACAGGTAACATGCTTATCAATGGTGGAAGACATTTCTTAAATATTCAACTTCTGGAATAAAAACCGCATTTCACTTTATTTAAACCTAATTCAATAAAACAATGAATGAGACATATTTTGCACTATCATCCGGTTAAGAAATTGGTTGGATAATCGTACTAGCTGTAGCTAAGTTGTAAACATTTAGTAATCAAGTATTATATTAAAGGATCAACCATGATATCACCTTACGTTTGCGGTCCAATTTAAGAGAGACATAATGGAACCTTCAAGACGGCATTCATTTCTATTTGTGAAAGTGTGGTAATATTATACGTTTGCTATTTAAAACAAATCCCGCGCAATGTGTAGTCAATTAAAAAAATCGGAAACTTAATTTTTCTTCCAAAATCACACACATAAAACTGGATTTTCCTTCCGATATAGTTTATTAGCAATACCACATATGTGTTGATAAACTTGTCCAAACCATAATGTTAAAATGATGCTATACAATGTTAGATCACCGACAGCAGAAATCACAAAAAAAAGTGCACGTCCGCGTTAGAAAAGAGTCTTAACTGCGGACGTCAGTTGAACAGGTATGTTTGCTCTTTTAATGTACCAACATTTGTTTATATGCAGGCTTTAATTTCTGTAAAATGTAGATAAATATCAAAGTACAGCAACATCGGATAAAACGACGTCGTCGTAAATGGAATGACGACGTCACGGAACAAGAATATCAAATGTAATATTTTCAATGAGTAATGTCATAAGTGGACACCAAGCGATGACGTAACAACAAAAAGGTCGGTTTATGTGATGCTCCATTCCGTACGAGTGATACAGGGTACTGCATCATATGAATCGAAAAATACATTTATCAGTATAGCAAGATTAAATAGGTTTGCAATAAAAAAGAGTTCCACAAGCATTTGCATGTTTTACAAACAGGACCACCCCTATATACAACAGTAAACTTGTAAATGTTTGTTAACGATAAGAGTGATTCAGTAACATTGTCTGTCCCCGTTATGTAACACTGCAGTCCTAATCCACAATGGCGATTGAATCCGTCAGCACCCGTTGCTTAGCTGAAGAGAAATGAGAGAATATTCTGGTTTGTATAAATGTCAGCTCTGCAAGGCTACAACTCACGATCTAGACTTTTGCTGACAAGCAACTTCCTCTATGGGGGGAGGCTCCATCAACAAAAACAGAAGATTAGCTCCGAGGTTACCTGTTAACACTGTAGCCTATTACAGCATGAACGATTACCTTAAAACAGAATGCGGAAGATGGACGCAATTAAGAAATTAGCATAACATGTTTGTCATTATGTACATCAAAATAAATTGTTTAAAACATTTTCTGGTTTGATGTGTTTACATT